CTCTCTTCCTTCCCTCCCCTCTGCCCCCATGAACACTGGACGTTGAAACCCCCTCCCGTTTGCCACCAAGAACTCTGGACTAATAACTCTGAAGCTAACTATTCAAAAGTACACTCAGTTTACTGCACATTGCAGAAGTTAACAGAACTCTGGACTAATAACTCTGAAGCTAACAATTCAAAAGTACAGTCAGTTTACTGCACATTGCACATATTGCACAAGTTTACTTTTTCTTTAAATTTTATTTTATTTATTTTATTTACCATTTTGTACCTTTTGCACAATTTAGAATTTATTACTGTAAATAATATTTATCTTATTTTTATCTCATTTTATTTTATCTATTTTACCTTATCTTATTTTACCTTATTTTGGTTGTATTGCACCGCGGGACGGAAACAAACGATATTTCGATTCCACTGTATGTCTGGCATATTTTGAAATTGACAATAAAGTTGACTTTGACTTTGACTTTACTCACCTGTAAATAACAGGGAAATCATAGTAACAGGTAGTGTGTTTCCTTTCCTGCTTCTGCCAGTCTGAAGACGAGGGCTACCGAGCACACTAAGCTGTTTCACTTGGAGGTTACGCCTCCTTGTGGACCAAATAGGAACCACACTCTAAATTAAAATATTTCAATCATGGGTAGTCACCACAAGATGGCAGCATTGCCTTAATTTTAGACGGGCTCTGTATCATGCATGAGAAATTTTAAACTACCTTGACTTGAGAGCGTTATTAACCCCTCTTCCCGACATGATAGCATGTCATGTTTGATACCAATGGATGCAGTATATCGTGCAGTTTCATGTGATACCTGTATACCCCCTCTAGCTTTAAAATTGAGACGCCGTCCAAAAAATAATAACATTTATGTTAGCTGAGGACACACTAACATTAGACAATAAGTTAACCGTTAGCGATAGCTAGCTAACGAAATGACAGCTAGCTAACTGGTAAACTGTTAGTGCGAGCTATTCTGTGAAATTGCCTGGTTGACTAATGTAACATAACGGTTTTATAAATTTAGCTAGTTAGCCGTTAGCTAGTTAGCCGTTAGCTAGCGAGAGTTACAGCTACTTCCTGTTTATGGTGATGTGATTTGTGGACTTCCTGTTGGATTTTGAGCATGGGTGCAAGAGGGTTTATTGTAGGTGTTGTCAAGGTGGATACACAGTAAAATTCAAAGTTGTAGGTTCAACGTGCTGCGGGGGCTGAATGTTTGAAATATTGTAGGGGGTGCCACTGAGACATTAAGCCACGCCCATTTATTTAAACGGTATCAAATGTTTGACTTTACCACCAGGATCATATGTACGAAGTTTCGGGACTGAACGACTATGTTAAGCCTGTGAAAAAACGACTTCCTGTTTGATGGCGACAGCGCGTCCGTATGGTGACAGCGTTGGACGTAGGCGTTTGAGCTTGAAAGTCTTGTATGGCCAAGGTGTTAGCACGGTCCACACCAATTTTGATGGGGACTTGAGCTACCATGTAGCAATGGCTAATGCTAATTGAGTAGAAGTAACTTCCTGTTGTCAACAGGTGGCGCTGTGACTTATTGAAAATTTTAAAACATGAATGTGTTCAGGGCGGGTCCTGCATGAGAAATTGTAATATGATTGAACACTGCATAACTGAGATACAAACATTTTTTGGCAAGTTGCCAAAACACACAAAAAAGTTAAAACGCACACCATGGCCACGACCTTTGAAGAAATAACATGCAGAGCACAACGAGATATGTTTTACTCATCTAGAACAAGCTGACACTGAGTTTGTGTTGAACACATGAGATCCCTCGGACTAGTTCGTTCAAGAAGAAGGCTGAAATCGTGATTTTGGGCCGTTATTGTGAAATTCAACTGTAATTTGTGGACTTCCTGTTGGGTTTTTAGAAACGCTGCAAGAGGATTTTTTGTCCGTCCTGACAAGCTTAATATGCGTAACAATTTTCATGAATGTGCGTGAAAAAACCCTCTATGGGGAGGCCATTTTGAAATTTTGAAGGGGGCGCCACTGAGCAATTAAGCCACGCCCACTTACTTAAACGATATAAGATGTTTGACTTTAGTACCAGGATTATATGTATGAAGTTTCATGAACACACAATGAGGTAGAACATAATGTTTCATGAGCGTCCAGTCGGAGCACAAAACACAAGACCATCGTCATAGTGACTGCTGGGGTGCAGTGACTAGTACAAACCTCCAGAGGGCAGTAACTCATCAGCTCAGGAAATGATATCGACAGCATCAACACACAAACACACTAACAAGTGCTTAGGGATGGAAGGACCCATTAAATGGTTTGAACCGCAATAACAATCCAATAGAAAATACACAAACCTGCACTGTCCACATTGTTTGAATCCAGTTTTCCCCCAACATTCAGCTTCCAATCTAAAATTCATTCCTCTTGTAGCTGCACAGTAGGGATTTCTTCAGATTTGTCGAGTAAAAATTAGGAGATTATTATTACATTATTAAAAAATAATGGGCATGGGTTAAAACTTGAGAATACATTTTGCCAAACTATTTTTTGACAAGTGAAAAAAACTAAACAGAACCAAAAAAAAAAAAAAACTAAAGCAAACCTTACCTTCTTTGGATTGTGATTATAAAACATTTAAAGAAATGGCATTCATAAAACTAGTTGTGCCTCAGCATAGATAATCAGCAAGAACGATTGCACGTGAGCCCGGAAAAGAAAGGGGGAAGGAATGAAGAGAAGGAGCAAGAAGTCCTGCTCTCCTCCACATGAGCGACGGTAAGTGTTATTGCTGATTCGTGTTTGACTGATTCAGTCAAGAACTCAACAGGAGGAAAAAAAAAGGAACGAAAAGTGAAATGTCATACATCTCCTACAGCTAGCGTGGCATCCGTACGGGGATCCTCTCATGGATTCCTCTTTGTGAGGAGAGGTTCTGGGTGGAATCGGGAGGATGCAGAGACACACTGCACTCCTTCACACTAGTTTGTAGTTACAGCAGTTCCTCATTCACTACTTTACTCTTGTTGCATTTTCAGTCATGCTTAACCCACCAGCAACGACTGCAGGTCATGATTGTAAGTTTAATGGATGTTAAAAGGGTGGAGACACAACTTAGGAGGTCTGAAGATGTGTTCCTAGACACACACGCGCATACGTGTGTGTGTGTGTGTGTGTGTGTGTGTGTGTGTGTGTGTGTGTGTGTGAGTGTGTGTGTGTCTAGTGTGCAAAAGGTCCCCCACTTTTCATAGTTTCAGTGACGACACTCTCATTTCCATCACTCCTTCTGTCCTTATACAGCCCATGCCTGTTAACAACGCCCCCATCTGCACCTATCACTGACCTCAGACCCTTGTCCAACCTTTCCACCTAATTACACCTCATCAGAAGGAGCATCACACAGAGAAGACTACTGCACCCCTCAACTCGGTTCTCTGGACTTCTGTTTATCGTTTAATCTTCTGTGCGTCCATGAGACTGTAAGTTCATGCATATTATAGTTCTCCTGTAAACTTTATGTTGGTGTTCTTCCTAATTTGTAGTCGGTACTACTATTGTTTTTATATCACATTTATTACACATTTAGCAAGACTGTTCGCCTATGTGAGGTATCAAACACAGTATGACTGTTTGCCATCTCTTCATCTGCCGATCCTGCTGAACTGCGGAAATCCAACTTCTGTGGCCTCATCGCAGTGACTCCAGACATACATCTACCTGACGCCAGTGGCTTCAACAGCTTCAACGAACTGCTAAAGTCTACGGTCCAAGCATGTCATGGGGCGGCAAACACCTCAGACCCAACAGCAGATGATTACAAGTACGCTGAGCTGGCCCTATTTAGACAGGTACAAAAAGACTGTTTCCAAGAGGAGTTCCTGCTGTTGACATCACAGAAACCAGTCTCCACAAGCAGCAGATTACTCACTTTAGCTCCAGAATACGACCAAGAATCCCAGTTGATTTGCGTGGGGGGGCGTCTCCGAAGATGTGACGACCTCTGCCAAGATACAATGCATCCAGTTGTACTTGACCCTCATCATCACATCACCAAGCTCATCATTCAGGACTTTGACAGCCGGCTGGCACACCCTGGACCTGAAAGAGTCTTTGCTGAACTGCGCAGTCGCAATATATTTTGTTTTGAAGTGGACTATTATTTCTTTTGGACTCTTTTTATTTTATTTTTTGACCCCAGAAAGACTAAATTTTGTTTTTTTTACACTGAACATTAAGGGCCTGTTTGATTAAAGAGTGAGAGACTGAAAAGCTTTTGTTTTGATTAGAGTTGCTGGGATTATAGTTTGTGTTATTGTTTTTTTGTTTTTGTTTTATGTTCCTAATACAAGAAGTATTTATGCAGGTGAACTTGTGTGGCAGTTTCTGTTTCATTTTTCTTATTTATTTATAAGGTGGTTTAGTTTAATACTTTTACATCCTTTGTGTTAAGGTTATTTTGACAATAAGAGTGGTGACTTAAAATAACAAACCAAAACGACTGGCACCCCAGAAAATAAACAAATTAAATTAGAAGTCTTGCCCCTAAAACCGTCACATAAATAAATGGCATCCCAGATGGGACACGCATTTTCTGGAAACCTTTCAAAATAAAGGAAATAAAAGGTGACCTGAAAACTATTACCTGTGTTGAAATCAAGGAACAAACAAATGGCTGCATGTTCTAAAATGGCTGCTGCTCAGCTTGAAAAGATTGCGTAAGGATTCACTCAGCTTGATCTGACCTTCTTGGAAGGGAAAAGTGAAAATAAGGTCACACACACAATACACATTATTCTCTGTTGGAAATGGAGCTTTGTGGAGAATCTGAACTTGCTCAACCATTCCCTTGACACTGGAAAACTCGGAACTGGACAAAACTGCTCAAATGGAGAACACAAATAATCAAACCTTGGAAAAAAGGAATTTCATGGATCACTCTTTGACGAACAAAACCCCAACATGGAGGAGCTATGTGGAAAAACACACTGACAAAATTGCAACTGTGTGTGATTCACAATTAAAGCAACTGGAGGAAAAGATGAAAAACATTTTCAATACATTCATCATCAATTCAATTCAACAATAAACTGGCGCTTGAAACAATATCATGCAGAACTTTTATCAGATCTCAAATCTGTCTTTACCCCCATGGCATCTGCAATTAAACACTTGGAGGATGAAGTCACACACTGCAGCCAACATCATCACATTATCAGAGGAAGTGAGCCATCGTAGCTTAACAACATCTTTGCAGCCCCCGACATTTGTTCATGCTTCTGTGCAGACTCTGCTGGTTAAAACGCAACCATACAGCCAACCTGCACTAACTAAACGACAAAGACTTTAATCTACCCTTTTACCTGAATGTCCTGAGGAGGAACTAATCTCTCCTATACATTCAGAAACTCACAATGAACCCAGAGCTACCTACCATGGAAAAAGCCCCATCAAAGTGCAATTCCCCATGTTTGGAAGGATGGAGGATCCACAAGATCCATTATTATTCTTGGAAAAATGCAAAGATTTTCTGGCTTTACAACCACTAACTGATGTTGAGTTAATTGCTACAATTCACAATGTTTTACATGGTACTGCTCGTGATTGGTGGGATGTTGCTCCGCCTGGATATCACAACATGGACAGAGTTTGAGAACAGATTTTGTTCTGCATTTTTGTCTGAAGATTACCAGGATGAAGAGTCAGGACTCGAATACAGGGGGAGAATGAAAACATTCACGATTTTGCTTATATGTACAGGTCCCTATGTAAAAGGTGGTATCCAAACATCACTGAGCAGGAAGTTGTCAAAATGACATAGAAAAACATAAACCTCAAACTAGCTAGTCAGCTAAGAAGCAGCAGTGTTGCCACTGTGGAGGCATTGGTTCGTCTTGGGCAGCAGCTGGAGAAAGACAGGGAAAATCAACATCAATATGAACAGAGAAAATAATTCTTACTAAAGACTACAAAACCTGACACTGTACCCCAGCCTTCTCAATCCAACACACCTAGTACCCCACAAGTTCACTGCTGGCGTTGCAAAAACTCCCATCCTCCATCAGCTTGTCCTCAGTATCAACCTGGAAAAAACAAGTTTCAAAGACAACCACCTGAACAGATTAATCAGAGACCAAGAGATGGACCGATTCAGCCTACCATTAACTTACTGACACATACAGGACAAACTTCTGCTCTGTCAACACCACCAGGGGACTTACCACAACAGCTATTGGTTCCTGTTACAGTTGGCTCCTGGAAAGGAAATGCTATCCTGGACACTGGCTTCTCTTTTACCCTCATCAATGACACCATCTGGAAACAATTCAGAGGGGGCGAAAAGCAGTTGAAGCCCTGGTTTCGTGACCCACTCTATCTGGCTGATGGCTCAGGGAGGTATCCTCTTGGATGGAGTGAGCTAGACATCAACCTTCATCAACAAATTGCAGCTGTACCTGTGGTTGTCTTGCTAAATCCATGTCTTGCACTTCCGGTCGTCCTGGGTCTAGACTATGTTTGGATTTCGGGCTTACAATTTGATGTGTCAGAGAACACCTACAGGTTTAAATCTGCCCCAAAAAGAAAATACAATTTCATAAGTGAACAAGCCGCAGAACAAGGGAGGATTCAAACACAACCTCACATTGCTTTTTACTCTGCTGTATCCCCTACTATGGCCTTGCAGGAGTTGTCCTCAGCTGATCCTTTTGATACTGTTATTCAGTCTTCTAATCTGGATGATGCTGGAAAAAACAAACTGTACACTCAACTTCAAACAAACACTGATGTCTGCACATCAAAAGTGGGTAAATTGTCACAAAATCTTCTGCTTTCCCATGACTTACCAATCAGGCAGAAACCGTACTGTTGCTCCCCTGCAAACTCCAGGAAATAAAAAATCACATTGAGGAAATGTTGGCAGATGGAGTCATTACACCTTCCCCCTCCCGTATGCTGCTCCAGTGGTCTTGGTACATAAAAAGAACAACCCCAAGTCACATTTTTTGTGTGGATTTCAGAAAATTGAATGCTACTACTCAAACTGATGCCTACCCTATTCCAAACATCCAAGAAATTTTGGAATCATTGGCTGGATCTTCTGTTTTTACAGCAATTGACTTAAACAGTGGGTAATGGCAGGTACCAATGGAGAAAAGCAGCAAAGAGAAAACTGCATTAATTTGTCCTTTTGGGTTGTTCCAGTTTGAAGTCATGCCCTTTGGTTTGAAAAATGCTCCCACGACATTCCAAAGACTTATGGAGTTGGTCTTGGGTGATCTTCGTGGCACTTGCATGGTTCATCTTGATGACATCATCATTCACTCCTCTTCCCTTGAGCAACACTACTGTGACGTACAGACTGTTTTGGACAATCTTAGGCAGGCTGGACTGACGATAAACATGAAGAAATGCCAGTTCTTCAGACAATCACTGAAGTTTCTTGGCCATATTGTTTCGGTTACTGGTGTTGAGGTGGGTGAGGAAAAGACCAAAGTTGTCCAGGCATTCCCAACACCGAGGAACCTCAAGGAGTTGCAGAGATTTCTGGGAATGGCTGGTTGGTACCATCAGTTTGTGCCAAACTTCTCAAAAATTTCAGACCCCCTCAACGCTCTAAAAAGAAAGGGTTCCAAATATATCTGGACAACAGCCTGCCAAAATGCGTTTGAGACTCTAAAGGAACATCTTGCCTCTCCACCAATACTGGGCCACCCTGATTTCCACCTACCCTTTGTTGTTTATACTGATGCCAGCGATGTTGGGCTCGGAGCGGTACTGGTTCAGCAAACCGGGTTGGGGACAGAAACAGTGATCGCTTTTGCTAGCCGTACTCTGAATGCTACTGAGAGAAATTACTCAACCACTGAGCAGGAATGTTTGGCTGTAGTCTGGTCACTTGAGAAATGGCGCTATTACCTGGAAGGAAGGCCATTCACAGTAGTCACAGTTGCGTTTTTAAAACGCAAAAACCAAGTACCAGACTGATTCGGTGGGCACTCAGACTGCAGGAGTTTACCTTCACAGTGGAGTATAGGAAAGGGAAGTACAACACTGTTCCTGATGCACTGTCTAGAGCCCCTGTTTACCCTGAAGAAGGCCAGTTTCCAACATCACAACAAAAATCTTCTAATATCAGATGAGATCATCTGGAAATCTCAGCAGTCAGACCCTGAGATATTGGAAATATATGAATCTATCATTGAGTCTGGGGAACAACAATCAAAGACCACCACCCGTTTCACTATTCTTGAAGACAAGTTTATCGTGTTGTGCAACTCCCATATAAAACTTTGTATCAAGTGTACATACCAACACCCCTACGCCATGAACTGCTCCACCTCTTCCATGACCATCCACTGGCAGGACATCTAGGAAGATATAAAACATATAAACGACTGCTGACCCTAGCATACTGGCCCAAAATGAGTTTGGATGTGAAAAACTATGTGCAGTGTTGTCAAACTTGCCAGGTTAAAAAACCTGAGAATTGGAGACGGCCTGGAAAACTGTAGCAAACCCAAGTGAGTCGGCCATGGGAAATGCTGGGAGTGGACCTGATGGGACATTGAGACGTGTTCATAATGTTAAACAAGAAAACACACTGACAAAGTTCTGAATTTTATGTGTAAAATTTAATATAAAAAGGGTAATGCAATTATAACGTATGGTGACATTATATATTTAGTAAGGAGATAAGACGCGGTATTGTTTGAATGACTTATTCAGAAAATGATCAAAAAGGGAAAAAGTTGATAAACAAATTTTGGGATTCTATTTGGATTAAAGGAGGGCTCTGAATAGACACGACTCACGACTTAATCTTCCAACACCAGCAACCAGCACGCTTACTCTGAGTTGTGTTCGATTGAACACCTGATGGCCATCTCGATGAATCCAAACTAAGGAATTGGCGTTCAAAATTGAAGAGCAAAGACTTTGGAGAAGAAAGTTCAAAAGCCTTGCTGGAGCCATAAAGAATTTATGTTTCCAAAAAATGTGCGTTGGATGCCCTGCAGGAGAAGGGTCACTCCCACTCTGACCGGAGGGCAATTGTTTACATTAAACCGAGTTTACTCAATAAGATTAAGAATAAGAATCTAAACATATATACGTCACCGTACATTCATTTCAATATTATTTCTATCAGATCCACGTTGAGATGAAAATCACACCATCTGGGAACATCCTCAGTCAATCCCAGCCTGTAGGGGAACAAAACCATGTTATACAGTCAACATTCTTAATAAGACATATTAATAAAGTAGGAAAAGAAATTGGTGTCTTTAAATAACACCTTCTATAGCTAATATCAAAGAGTATGCTTTATAACACATCTAAATGTATAATTATGAAGGTTACATATTCATGGAAATTCTAACACTAGATGGCAATAGCACTCCATGTCAAATTCCTATTAAAACTATTAGAACTTTAATTGGCATTCTGAACATCAGATTTTGAGTTTAAAGAGATGATTGCGATACATTGACAACTACAAATATCTAGATGAAGAAAGACATAAATGTTCATTTGATGCAGAATTGAACGCTGTGGTTTAATCAGTCCTTCAGCAGTAGTTCAACAGATGGTCAATTTTAACGACTTTGCAGAGACTGGTTTTGGTCATAGTTCATGTCTTTGGAGTCAATTCGTAGATAGCAGAGTGTTCTGTTTCCGCTTGGTTGTTTACTCCAGGCGTTGTAAAAGTTTATAATATCCTGTCTTCCAGAGCCTGTCTGAGAGGGAGACTTAAATCAGTTCCTTGATCAGTTCCTTTGTTTCTTGGTAAAAAAATAACCCAGATGTTAATCCGCAGTCCTGAGTCCTGCAGGAAGAGAGGTTATAAATCCTGGCTGCTAATATCGGCTACACGTGGAACCTGTCCTCTTTCTCAGATGTGCTCCTCAAAGTGTCGGGGGACTCGTCTGCTGTGGCTGTGGGAAAGATGAAGAAGTAAGCACAACAAGAGGAGGTTTGGTATGTAAACAATCATGAGAATGAGGAAGTCGGGAGCTGACTTAGCGATGGTGGTTCTTTGGAGGCAAAACCCTGAGATTTCAGACTGTCCATAATCCACTGCAGGGCTTTGACTGACTGGGCAGCCTGATGACAAAACAAAAGTAGGTCAGATACTTTTGATTACTGCTTGTACAACATGGAAGATGAAAGCTTATTATTTTTTTTTTTAATCAGGGACATCTGGAAATAAAATGCAACTGAAGTGTATCATCTATTTTCTGTACTGCCCCTCACTCATTCTGCCTGATGTAAAAAATAAAACTTTAATATACACGCAGGTGCAAATTTAGTGATAAGTAAAAAAAAATGAAAATAAATAATAAAAACAGGTCACAACCTGCTCCTCTAGTCGAGCCAGTCTTGTCGCCAAGGTAGCAGAGCTCGTCTCCTCTTCCCTCTCAAGTCGATCGTTCATGGTGGTAACCCTCAGGAGACAAACAACAACAATATATAGATGTTTGGTTCTTATTCTAGTGTTAATGCTACATTGTTTGACGTTATATAATATTATATTTATATTTAACAGTAAAAGTAGAACAAAATCCAAACTCTGAGACAACGATTAAGTCCCTGTATTAAGTAAAGTTGATGTTTGTGAGATCTTGCTCAGAGCAAGATAAATAAAGTGATTGTATGAACTTTAATGTGTTCCAGAGACACATGAAAGTGTTATCAGTCTTAAAGAAAGAGTACAGCCGAGGTTAACAATCCAAAACAATGAGCTAAAAGAGGCTCAAAGGCAGACGCTCAGGCAGATCCTGTGCGCTTTGAAGTTTATTTGAACTAAATCCAGGGCTGTGTGTTTTGACAGTGTGGGTCAGGATCTGAACTTAACATAAAGGAAACAGGATGATTAAAGGTGAAACAGGAGAATGGACATTTTGAAGGGTAGTAATGTATGCTTTATGATAAGTTCATTCCAACAGACTTTTCTTTTATCCCTTATCTGTTGTCACAAACTAGAAGTTTCAACCACACAGGACTCTCAAATTGAATAAAAAGTTGAGGAGGTGGGATCACACTTTGTTGACCAAATCTGGACTAAAACAATATTCAAGATGTGACAATAGATCTCAAATAGACAGAAGTAGCTCAAACATTTGTTATTCAGCTACAGTGGGCTACAGTCGTTGTGTGGTTTTACTTTTGGGCCGTGTCCAGGATGCGCCGCTCCATGCTCTGATTCTGCTCCTGTTGTGTGGAGAGCAGGTATTGGTCCTTCATCAACGCCTCCCAGGACAGCAGCTCCTCCTCCTCTATCTGAGGAAGCTCATTCTCTGAAAAACAGAGTCACAAATGAATTCTTCACCTTAAATAAGACTGTAGATGCACATAAACAAATGGACACAAGGATTTCAGTTTCAGAGGAATTAGGATCCAGATTCAGAAAAAGGACATTGTGTTAAACTTTTATTTTGAAGTGTTGTCAAACTACTTCTTCCGAGCTCGAAAACGTTCACAATTATAAAAGGGACAAAATCGGGAAAATATGTGTGTATGGAACCTTGACCACCAAAATGATCTCTCAAGGTCACAAAGATGGAGTTACCCAACTTTCACAAAGATGTGTAAGTTGTAAGCATGTTGGCAATGTAAGTATTGAACATGAACCATGTGATATGAGCTTGTTGTATATGGCAGGGTTGGAACTGAGGTTGTAAATAAAAGCCTAGTTTTTCAAAGATCCGTTCAAAAGAGCATTTTCCTCAAGCAAACAA